TACACCGGGAACCCGTCGTTATACCTTATTTTACAATAGTAGGGTGTATAGTAATTTAAATTCGCAATATCAATATTATTTCAATAGATAATATTAATGTTTACGTTATTATGATAAGCACGGCCGTTATTTTTGTCGAATTTACTTCGTTATAGTACTGCATTATGTTTGTTATATACAAGATGATTTACTAAGCGTGCTCACCTAATTTGTTTGGTTAAATTTTGCATATATTCAAATTCTGATTTTTGGAATTTTTTAGTGTAGTTAAAGCTGATGATTTTGAATATTTAGATTTTTTACAATATCTAAGGAGTATTCTGTGACGATACCAACTTAGGTTTTTCAAATAAGAACTTATATATTAAAAATTCCATAAATAGACGAAGTATTACTTTAAATAAAATATGTTGATGTTTCAACATTATTGATTTCCATCAACGGGTTGGTATCGCTACAGGATACTCTTGTTGTTTATGTTGTGAAAATTCTAAGTATTCAAAAATATCAGCTTAAACTATATTTAAAAATTCCGAAAATCAGAATTTTTTAATGTATCAAAATTTAACCAAACAAATAAGGTGAACACGCTTAGTGAATCAATATATATATATATCTTTCCCGTTACTTTATTGAATATTTTTAGTGGCTCTATATAAACGAATTTATTTCAACGTCTGAGATGTTTTAAAGGTGGATTGAAGTGATATTGATTTCACCATATTATTGTGAGAGGAAGGTATTTTCTTTGAGCTTGGTACAACCCTATATCCTTATATGAAGTCAGGAGAATGAAATTGTATATATGCGTGATGTATCAAGGATGTGTCTTTTAGAGGTTTTAACTTTTAATCCCCTCCCTAAATTGGTTTATTTAGGTAACTATACATTCACAGATTTGTTATCAGATTTTGAATGATACGTTTTAGAAATGAATTAATATTTTATTTCTTTTATTATTTACTTATTTTAATTTTTTACATTTGGAAATTGTCCTGTGGGATGTCCAAAACCTTTTAAGTTAAATTTCACCCATCATGGTTCCAATTTCAAGTTTTAGACATTTTTAAAAGATAATTGGGGGAACTACCAAAATTGTAAATCTTAAAAAATAGACCATTTGGCCATTTCTTGACGATGTCATTTTCGATGAACAAACTAAATACCATTTTATTTTATCGATATAAAATATAATAATATTGTTTAGCAAAGCATATAACCTTTAAACTAAAACTTTCGTAGATACCACAAGCAATTACATTTCAGATAGGTATTTGTAAGAGTTTTTAATTATATATTTTAATAAATCAAATAGATATTATTATGTATTATTACATATTAATTATTAAAAATAACTTAGCTTTAAAATCGTATCTAATTTTAAATTTATATATTTGGATATTTATCAATGAATATAATATATTTAAAAAAAATAAATAAAATATATTTTAAACTATTATCTACAATGTAATATATGACTAATGCATATTAGTCATACGAACACACAGTTAAATATTTTTTAAATGATAATAATGTATTTGTTAAAATATATGAATGTGTATTTAACGTGGCAAGCAAATTTTAGAATTAGGTACGTTTTCAAATTGGATAAATCAAGTATTTAATTAATGTTATTAGTTGAAAATACGTATAAGTTGATTGGGTTGCATAATAGGGTGTATGCAAGGGGCACATAAATATGGCTTCTTTTTTAAATAAATATTACAAGTATCGTTTTGTGCGTTAGCATCATGACATTTAGGAACTGCATAATTTAAAAAAAATCGCCTGATTAAAAAATATATAATATAAGGTATACAGAGTTTTTTTTTGTTTTTTAAAAAAAAATACTATAATCTAGAAAATTCTTTTAAATATAATACCACTGACAAAAAAATCTGTTAAGATATGACACGAACAATTAAATAAAATTAAACTGCTAAAAAGAAGTTTTTCAAGAAAAAAATACCAAAAGACAGATTCAAGCGTGTAATGTTGAAAATTAAAAAATAATGTCTCAAGTTATGTATATTGCCGGTTGGATAATCCGCATCTTCAAAGGTAGATAATGCATGAACAAATCTGAGCATTTTTATTACGTGAAATAGTATTTTCCGAGAAAAAAAATAATACACCTTAGTAAAACTAATTATATAGCTTCTTCAATACACTCGAGATAAAAAGAAAAAAGTCGTAATTTCCTCCAAATTTTTTATCCGCATGCATTAAAACGGTTTGCCATGCCAACCTTACATAATATTATTATTGTCTAACCTATACAAATTTAAAACTCCGTCCGCCACTGTCGTCTGCGAAATAAATATAATATTTTTTTATTGTTCGTCAAGTCATTGCAATGTATATTATATTAATGATATTATCGCCAAAACGACGACAATGAGACATAATTCATGTGGCGGCGGTGGCCGACAAAAACCGCAACTGATGACCTTTGCCACCGTCGCGACCGCAAACACAGTCGAGACCGGACAACGGTAATAATATTTTTATATTATACCTCGGTTAACTGATTGGCGTGACAACTATTTAAGTAATTTGTCGTCGCCCCTTCTCGGGCTCTCCCTCCCTCCGTATAACTGAGGGAACTTAGGAAATAAATAAAAAGTCCAGTATAATGTACGTAAATGGTATAATCGCGTGAAAGTTTTGGAACGTTTTTATTATAATGAAATGTGTCCCTTTACCAGAATGGTAATTCGAAATAATACCGCAGCCGGTCGGAATAAAATCAAAGTTGGATTTTTATTTTTATTATTATTTTTTTTTTTGGAAAATGTAGGAGGCACCAATAAATACATATATTAAACCAATTTTAAATATGTTAACTCTTGCGGTGCGCGCCAGCGCAATAAAATTTACATTTCTTTAAATGAAAACATATTATATATTTGGGTTTTATCGCGAAAAAATTATCTGAAACAGAGAATTCAAAGTGTAGACATTTTACTATACTGTTTCATAATGAAAAACTAATTATTTAAAAATAGAATTACATAATAGTACATTTTTTGAAAAATTGAGAAAAATAATACTTTTTAAACTCTTGATGGATTGTATCTCAGTCGGTTAGGCAATTGTTGAAAAGAAAAAGAAAAAAAATCGTACAGTTAACAGTTACTAGAAAAATTTAAATTATTCTTATCTGGTGTTAAACATAATGTTTTTTAAAGTTTATGAGTACGCCGAAATATTGGAAATTAGTTTTAAATGTTTATTATATATTTCTAAAAAAAAACCAATTTTAATTCTGGCGAAATTTATTGTTGCCATTTTAGTGAAACACACACGTGTATAATATCCGAAAAAGTTATTTCCGTGAAAAACAACATAATTTACTATAATAGTTTCTTCGTTATTGTAGACACGGAACATAAAATACGATTTTATATACATATATAGATAGTGATTTTAATATGCTTAGTGAGAAATTAGTGACATATACACTACATAGGTATCTAAACTTATAAGTTTAAATTTGTTTGTACCGTGAAAACAACCGAGACAGCGTGTTAGATTAAATACCTTTAACATTAGTGTAGGTTTAAGTATAGAATTATAGTGGTTTTAAACATGTGAACTAGGTATATGTATTAGTTCGTTGCGCACTGTTAAAAACATGTTTACTGCGGTTTATATACGAATATAATTTTAAAAGCTCGCCAGAGTTGCAGATAGTTAATTGTATTATGCGTTTATGTTAATCACGGTGGTGTTTATTCAGATTAAATTTAAATATTATTCCCTATAAAACGAGAAAATGCTTTCGAAATAACCATTACAACCCTAAAACAAATATCCTTAACTATATAATATAAATGCCGTTGTTTTGAATAGTGTTGGAGAAAAGAACGAGATTTAACATAAGTTAAAAGTTACTGTTGTCTGTTAACAATTATTTTCTTTACTATTATTTATAGTGTATATGCTAAGTTAACTTTGAAATAAAAGTAACTAAAAATATGTTATAATTTTCTAATAAGCAATAAAAAAGAAACTTCTAAGGTACTATATACGTATTACGTATTATTATAAGTGACGTGGTAAGTCAACTGAGTGAGAATTCGGGGGTAGGATCGGAGCTTAGCTGCTCGCGGATGTTTTTTTCAGTTTTTATAGAGTCTTCTTACGATCTTATCAGTAATATTTTTAACATTTTACTTAAAATGGTACTTGTAGCCGCTGTCTACCGACTTGTCACTATAATTTTTTGTCTTGATCTGCTGGACCTATTTGAGAAGTAAAATTGAGTAATTTAACTTTTAATAGATTTATATTTCTATTTTTGTGGATAAATGTTAAATAGGGTTTTTATAAAATTACCTTATAAACTATGGAAATGATAACAAGTATATCAGGCAACATCATTTCCTAACTGTAAGTACACTAAGAATAATTATTATAATAATTTCCTAAACTTATTTCCGTTAACATAATTTATAATTTTAAAAAACGATTTAAATTACGTTTTAGGGTGCCTGAGAATTATCCAAGCATATTTTACAAACAATATATCGTATATTAGGTCGTATTTATATGAATGATGTGAATTACCAAATTAACACGAGTATCTATATTCTTTAAACATTATAATAAAGTTAAATAATATACGTTTTTTTTTCTTCAATCAATATAATACAAAATTTTACTACCTACATTGTAAACGTTAAATTTAAAATATTATTGATGATATTATCTATAATAATAAAACAGTGACCTCCAGTTGAAAAATCACCCATTTTTGTTTTTATTCCATCGGTTTTTTCTCTGCACATAAATCTGAAACGATTACTCTACCCGACTACTTTTCCATTTTCCAGAATAGTCTTTCCTCTTTTTTCGTTGTAAGTCAAACAAACAAGTTTATCCATTTTCATCATAGATATTATCTATTTGAAAAAAATGAAAATTGTAAAAATAAGTAATTTTTTAAATTTATTTAAATTTTTTAAAATAATAATGGTTTAATGAAGTTTGTAAATTTATTTGGAAGCAGCAGCTATTTGTTTCATACGATTTAATGCGCTGCCTGCTTTAAACCAATCAATCTGTTGTTCATTAAATGTATGGTTCAACATGATTTCATCTTTGCTTCCATCAGTGTGAGATAAGATGCACTTCAATGGCTTACCGGGGACAAATTTGTTCAGTTCTACTAAAGATACTTTATCAGTTGGTTGAACTTTATCGTAATCTTGAGCTTTTGCAAACGTAAGAGCTAATACTCCTTGTTTCTTCAAATTTGTTTCATGGATACGTGTAAAAGACTTTATAATAATTGCGACTCCTAGTAAATGACGTGGTTCTAAAGCAGCATGTTCCCTGCTACTTCCCTCGCCGTAATTATCATCATCATATACTACCCACGATACACCTTTTGCTTTATAAGCCCTGGCTGTATCTGGTACTGCGCCCCACTCACCGGTTACTTGATTCTTTACCTTATTCATTTCATTGTTGTCGGAGTTAGTTGCGGTCAAGAACATGTTATTGNTTGAACTTTATCATAATCCTGAGCTTTTGCAAACGTAAGAGCTAATACTCCTTGTTTCTTCAAATTTGTTTCATGAATACGTGCAAAAGACTTCACAATAATTGCTACTCCTCCCAAATGACGTGGTTCTAAAGCAGCATGTTCCCTGCTACTTCCCTCGCCGTAATTATCATCACCAAATACTACCCATGATACACCCCTTTCTTCATAATCCCTGGCTGTATCTGGTACTGCGCCCCACTCACCGGTTATTTGATTCTTTATCTTATTCATTTTATTGTTTTCGGAATTAGTTGCGGTCAAGAACATATTATTGGATATATTGTCTAAATGACCTCTATATTTCAACCATGGTCCAGCAGCAGAAATATGATCAGTAGTACATTTTCCTTTAATTTTAATAAGGATTGTTAGATTTTCTAAATCTTTTCCATCCCAAACTTTGAAAGGTTCCAACAACTGAAGACGTTTGGAATTTGGATCCACTACAACATTCACAGATGATCCATCGGCAGGTGGAGCTTGATAAGTATTTTGACCAGGATCAAATCCTATAGCGGGTAGTTCAGTGCCAAAGGGATTGTTCAATTTAAATTCTTTACCATCAGATCCCTTAATTGAATCAACTGTAGGGTCAAAGTTTAAGCTACCTTCAATGGCCAATGCGGTAGTCAGCTCAGGGGATGTGACAAATGCATGAGTCGCTGGATTAGCATCATTTCGTCCAGTGAAATTCCTATTGTATGAACTGACAATTGTATTTTTTTCACCTTTTTTGACATCTTTACGATTCCATTGACCAATGCAAGGACCACACGCATTAGCTAATACAGTACCGCCAAAATCTCTCAATATTTGTGCAATCCCATCTCTTTCAATTGTTGCCCTGATTTGTTCAGATCCAGGCGTTACATTAAATGGAATTTTTGATTTGCGTCCATGAGCTAAGGCTTCTTTTGCTATAGAAGCACACCTTGACATGTCTTCATAACTTGAGTTAGTGCAACTTCCAATTAGACAAACTTTGATTTCAAGGGGCCAATTATTTTTTGTGGCGTTGTCACCAAGTTTGGAAATAGGATGAGCCAGATCGGGTGTAAAAAATCCATTGACATGAGGTTCCAATGTGTTTAAATCAAGTTCGATTAACTGATCATAGTTGCTGCCTCGGTCAGGTGTCAATAAGGACTTACTGTACTTGGCAGCTTCTTCAGCGATATCTGGACGTGAAGTAGCCTTCAAATAATCAGCAATACGACGATTGAAAGGGAACAATGAAGTAGTCGCACCAATTTCAGCACNTGTGTTTAAATCAAGTTCGATTAACTGATCATAGTTGCTGCCTTGGTCAGGTGTCAATAAGGACTTACTGTACTTGGCAGCTTCTTTAGCTATATAAGAACGTGATGTAGTCTTCAAATAATCGGCCATACGACGATTGAAAGGGAACAATGAAGTAGTTGCACCAATTTCAGCACCCATATTACAAATCGTAGCCATACCAGTACACGATATATTGTCAACTCCAGGTCCATGATACTCAATTACAGCACCAATACCTCCTTTGACAGTTAAGATATCAGCCACTTTCAAGATAACATCTTTTGGTGTAGTCCAACCAGACATTTTTCCACTTAGATGAACTCCAATAATTTTTGGGCATTTCAGTTCCCATGGAATGTCAGCCATAACATCAACAGCATCCGCCCCACCAACTCCAATACACAAACCGCCGAGACCACCACCATTAGGTGTATGAGAGTCGGTACCAATCATTAATAATCCAGGAAGTTTACTTCGTACATTACCCATATATTTCTTCTTGATAAAGTTTAAACCTGAAATCTTTGTTTAAAAAAAAAATGTAAACAACTATAAATGGTAGACAAATTAGTGAAATAACGGTATTTTAGAGTATGGGGCAAATTTTATTTTGTGACCATGAATTTATGGTATAAACTAAAAAGTGTGTAATGTACGAAATATAACAAAAAATTGGCCCTGGTAATACTTACAAGTTTATACACCTTAGTACAATTAATTTGCACGCCTATAGTTTATATACTTAGTGTATAATATACAGACAAATAGTCATCGTATGAATACAGAAATAATCATATTTAACACATAAGGTAAACTGTTAGACATAACAATATCAAATATAATAACAATTTTATAAAACTATTATGAAATACTATACTTACAATGGTACAACTGTGTAAAGTGAAAAAATTGACTGGTGTTAAAAAAAAAAGAGCCAATACTGCTGATGGATTTGCTACTGTTGTAGATGTGGAAGATAGGAAAAAAAATAAAATAACTTAATTTATTATTCACTGTGCTACTGCTCTACAGCGTCTAATGGCATTGATGGAAGATTCGGGTTTGGCAATAACATTTTTCAATGGATTTATACCATTTCTGCAAAAACTGTTTTGTCGTGACGTTAGTCTGATTATGCCATTAGACGGCTAATGTAGTAATATATTTATGGGGAATTTATAATTCGATATGGATGCCACTTCAGTCGAAATCTTATTTTCGTCTATCGGCGGTGACTGTGGCGATGGCTTGGTATCAATTCATAAAACCAAATATAAGAACTGTTGCTTTTTCAAAATATTTTATAGTAAAACGCAGCTCCGTACGGATTGTTTATGTTCAATAATTTGCTAGACGTTAATTTGTTTTATAGTCTCTCTTCTTTTATTTAATTCGAGAACTGTTTGACTATACGTTATTTTCCATCATTAGATGAAAGGTAATGTTTTCGATTTTATGAATAGTACGTATGTTACAATGGGTGAAAATTTATGCAATGAACCTAGTTTAATAATCATCTAGTTTTTTTTAAAAAACTAGTCCCGAGACTTTGGATACAATTACGCGTGAATACCACTATGTATACTGTAATACACTAACCGATAAAATTGACATACTCAAGAGCGGTGAGGTGGAATTTTATATACGTTTAAAAACCCTGCAGCATAATCTTTGTACATATCAAAGACGGATAACTACGTTAAAAAAGCTTCTTAAATTGTGATAATACTGTATTACTATATTATATTGTAAGTTTGTATTAAAATTATTTGTTTCACCGATTTCATTACGGCCCACTGTTAGGGGTTGAATCCCTTTCCCTTCACCCCGTCACTATCGTAAATAAAAATGTTGTCAGGTTCGCTATCTATGGAAAATAAGTTATTACAGACGAGGTCACCACAGTATGGAATCGCGTCGTCGTCAGTGTATATCGGAGATCACGTGTGCGTTACAATATTATACATATTACACGTATACGCATACGTTATACAGGGTGGGCGTAAACGCGTGGAGATCTTTGAACGAAAAGAATCGACTCTTGTCGAGATAAGGACATCGTAAGCGAGAAACACTTACAGAATAAAAAAAAAAACATAATAATATTATATAGTATTTTAAACACTGCGTACCAATAATATAGCATTACACCTATATAATACGTAACACAACGCTGCTGTATTTTATTATTATTATTGTTATTTTATTTTTTGTTTTTGTCCATGATGAATTGCTCGCACGCCTCTCCGTTGTCCGGTCGCCGCTTCCTGTGTTTCGGCAACACCTACCCGCGCGTTTTATACAGGTACCACGTATACACGGTTGTGATACAGGTATACGTATACCTATACCTTACTTACAGTAATAAATCGTCCGGACCCGGTAAATTATAATATTATCGCGCCGTTATATACCTAATATATTATATCGTTCAGATATATAGGTACAAGTAGGTACGCGTATACATACATACCCTTTTCATTTTACCACGTGATACCATCGGCGCCTCCAGGATTACACGCTATTATTATTATTATTATTGTTATTATCGCTATATCGTTGTTTTCGTATTATTTATACACGGAGAACTGCTCGGATCTCGTATATTATACGAGTATATATGCATATATATCTAACTATATAAAACGCGCGCGCGCGAGGTGATTCACCCGAACGCCTGTAAATAATTATATTGTAATACGTATACCTACCTATACAGCCGTAAATTCGTACAATAATACTGTATTTTATTATTCTAGTCGTATATTATTATCATAACTACAGTGGAAATCCGTGCGAACTTTTCGTACACAATTAAAAAAATAAAATAAAATAAAGAACCACCATCAGACGCACTATATTGGATACCTTTTATTTAGACATTTCATTTTTAAAATGATATAATACAACTGAAAACTATAATAGTATTCTGCGGGGGTGTTCTATTTAAATCTAAAAAACACCCCCTTGGGTAAGAATATGTTTAAATTCGTATTTCAATTCAATTCAACTTTCATCATTTAAATCCGTCTATAAATCAACTTTAATTCCCGAATTTGAAACCATTTGGTCCAGAAGCAACTGCTAGACGTGTCCGTAAATTGTAGAGGAAAAACACAATATAGTTTACTAGCATATTTTCGAAGAAAATTCGATAATAATGAACACTCCGGTTAGATAAAATCTGTTACCGGAAATTACCTCTGATACTTATTGATGATTGAAACAAGTTTTCTGATCGGAAAATTGTTCGCAGAAAAAAAAACACATTACAGTAAAACTATACGAAATTGATCGAATCTCAAATCCTATGAATGATCATTTTTTCGATAAAAACAAAACAAAAATTGTGCAAGGTATACATACTTATGTGTACCTATTTAATGTTTAAGTGTTTCTTGAATTAAAAACGTTTTACGAGTATAAATGATATCATTAGTTTTGGAAAAAAAAATATAAAAAGTTATGCATTTATAAGGATAAAGTATTTTTTGTTTTTTATGGTACAAAATACTTACTAGAAACGGATTTTTTTTTAAGTTTAATTTTTTTGACTCGCAATTAATCTCCCGTGTAAATAATTCATTCAAATAACGTCGTCGTCGTATAAATTCAGCAACGGTTCAATTAAGCCCCGCCGTTTCCTCATTTGAATACGGGAAATAATTGACTGCAACATTGTGTTTTATATACATTTTACGGACTAATATAAATAAAAATGGTAATGAGATGTTGATTTTTTTTTCAACCCTCCTTTAAAATACGCGTATTGTTTGGAAATCGTTCAGGGTTAAGATTATCAGTACTTTTCCGTCCCGAGATAACGATAGTTATTATTGTACATATTATATAAAAACGGTAGGTAAATATTGGTAACTCGAAGAAACGAGTGCGAATTTTTTGTTAATCGAGACATTGGATTTCAATCCTGTTGGATTGTTTTTTACTATACATTAGATAGTATATAATAATTATTATACTGCAGCAGTTAAGTAACCATTTCATAAAATAATTATTGTGATGCATTCCGACGCCGCGTATTTATCATAAACCGACGATTTTCTCAGAGAATTTCATGTGTATTCGATTTCTGTTTGGGTTTTTCTTTTCAATAATTATGGAATTGCTTAAGCTTTATCTTAACACTAATTTCTTATTCTTCTTATTTGTATACCTTCAATGGTTTTGTTTTTAATTCCAATTTTGAGCAGGGCTGGCACTAGGGGAGGGGGAGGCAGGGAGGCATCTTCAAGCGTAAAATATTCCTGTATTCGCGTATTTGTATGTTACGTATATTTAAGTAAAGATACTTCTTTAATTTAATTTTTCAGTGTTTTAATGGACTATAGGATAAAGCGTATATTTTATGAACAACGTACAAGGTATGAACAGTATTTCTTATTTATGTATTTACAGTAACTTTTACTTACTATTCTGTTTAGCTACTTATTTTTATACAGATTATTTGCTAAATACTACCTTATTTTCAAATTAGGTTTATATAAAAAGAAGAAAACATTATCATAGATAGCGTCCCGGAAGCACACACATGCCGTATATAATTTATATACTTTAAAGAGTATTTTTAGTAAATATCCACTCTTAATAAATTTCTATGAGCAGATATACGAAACATTCTCATTAACTTTTGGATTTTCTTCGATAGTTTTCCACCTGATATGTGTTGTTGTTATAGTTATTGTTTATATTATTATGTCACGTTATCTGTATGGCTTAGTACCTAATTAGATTATCATTATCATAGTATTACCTACATGATGTCGTTACTGTCCAGGAAATAGAGGAGTTGTATATCGATTAAGCAACTTTGTGTCTTTGTGTCTATGTTAATGTCTTTCATGCGTACCTAGTTTAATTCACCGCCAATGAGGGTGATTCTTATTTAAAATATAATATTTTGTCTCAAAATTAGATTTGCTAATTCGTAATTTACTATTTATTTTCTAGTGGACACATTATACATAGTAAGCAATATCTTATTCAACTGTTACACTTACTCTATAGTCCAATAGACTGTAATATGTATCCATTTTTGGACACAGAAAACTTCCTAAAAAAAATGCTCTGAGAGTAATAAAGTCCAATACTTTATCTCTGAATCCGTTTATCTTCAATTTCTAAGGACATTAAGGCCCGTCATCATTGCTCTGTTCTTTTCGATTATTGTTTGCCTTTTTCTTTCGGATTATTGACTCTTAATATAGTTTGGAGGTTTTGCTTTACTATAGGTAATACAGTTACGCTATATAAGAGCATATAATATTACGATGAGTTTGTATTCGTGTAAAACTGCGACTGTTTGCTGTTTGTTGACTGTCTATATGTGATAATATAATATTATATCGTGGAAAACAAAACGACGACGCGACGTTATTAAATCTCGGCCGCGTATAAAACCCCCGGCGGACCTTATAGTTTACACACAAAATACACACAGACACACATGTATAACGTGTACTTATAAATATAATAATAAAATATCTTCGGAAACGTCATGCACGAAAGGGTTAAATGCCATGAACCCGAGGCTATTCTAAAGCACACACGCACGATGTTGTCGTCGCAGAATCACTCATCCTTTTTGACCTACGCACATCAATATAATATAATCACCGCGAAATGAACACGTACACTACACTCCGAAAAGGCTATTATTATTAATATTAATGGTAAAATTCCCCGTGTGCGCGTGCACGTGTTTGCCGTAGGAATAAATGGTACGATTTTACCACAATTTGACTGGAGGAAGTCTTCCCCTCCATCACATTTAGCGATACCACCTCTTCAATTCATCTCTAGACATAATTATTATGGCCAAATTATATCGATATATTTTGTTAATTAAATATGGATCATATATAATCCATGGGTTTATAGTAAACAGAATGGTGAAGTTGCAAATAACCTCATTGGTACAACCCAAACCCATAATAATTAGAACTCCAGGAGCTGTAAATAAGGTTACTAGATAATATGTTCTTGTACTTAATCTTTTTGTTAACATAAGGTGTCTAAATATTATCACAATATCATTCATTATCAAACAATTAATTTATATATTTTTTTATTTACAAAAATGTAACGTACTTGCTATATATTCAAAAAAAAAACGGTACCAATACTTATTAAAAATCTGAGATATTAGCAATAATTATAAATTGGTAGACATTATAATCAATAGTATTACTATATTACGAGCACTTAATACCTTAATAGCGTATAAAGCATAGATTAAATACGCAGACTGAAATTTAATCTATATACAATAATTACTACAATATATAAATCTACCTTGTTACAATATTAGTGCCATCACGTAATTAGTTCATTAGGGAAAGTAACGTTATAGTATTTGAATTAATATTAATACTATTTTGATATAGACAAATATGTTTTTGATAGTTAACCGAAGATTTATATTATTATTTTTAAAATATATCAAATATCGATACAATGTATCGGATATATAATATAATAATACCTATATAGGCCGGTATATTTGTTTTACCTTGTTTACTCGTCTCTCGCTACAATAAACCACCACGATGTGTTTATAGACTTATAAGGTCGGTTACATTATGTAGGATTGATAATATACGCAATATTAAGTCGTTGGCGGTTAGTTTGAAAACATATATTTTTTTTAAATAACACAGGGAACTCAGGGAAAAAGCAATTGAAAAAAGTACGGGTTGCAAGTCTAATATAATAATATACACAGGCCTGTATTTGTGGGAGCCTCAGAGGGACAATTGCACTTAAGTGGTAGAAATTTGAGGGGTGGCAATTTTAGAAAATTATTGAATTTGAAAATTATTCAGCTCACAATGATTGGGCCACTATAGTAAGTGGATGTTAAAAAGGTTAGGTTTACATTTTTTTTAAATGCTGAGATAAAAATGGTGGGTACTTACTTATTTTCAAATAAACTTTGCATGGCTGTATTTATCGGACGATTTTCGAGGTAGAAGAAATTGTATTATTTAAAGTTGTTTGAAAAAACAATACTATTTGAACCCGCTGATGATAAAAATGAAAAGTAGCAGTTGTTTCCCTTTAAGGTAATGTGAGTTTCATCGCGTACTGCAGGGGTTAAAATTATGAAAATAGCATTATATAGCTACCTACTTGTATATTTTAGAACCCCGGACCTTCCGAAAGAAATAAAAAAAAGAACACCCCATTTCAATCCGAGTCCATCCGGCTGAAATATTTCGTGTTACTATTTGAGTGAAACACTGTATTTATAAATTATAATACAATATTATAATATACTTTAACGACATACGCCGCTCACAATGCACCGACGTCGATACGCTCTTTTATCAAAATAATTGAACACCTCGGGGGTCTTTTCTCGATTTGTATACGCACAAGCATACACATACACGACTCGACGTTTATTCGTTAACTATATTCGGAAAACGTCAACCGGAAACATATTATTGCGTAATGAGTACCTATATAATATTATTATTATATATATTATATTATGTACACCAATTCGTATAATATATATTGCAATAAAATATATAATAGGTACTCCAAAAATCCGGACGTCTACCTACTTCACACCGTGTAGGGTGGGTATAGTCGATTCGCATTAAATTCGATTCGAAACTCTTTTTTGTTATTATTTTTTTTTTGTTTTTTGGAAGTCATCCAATGTACCGAAATTGTTAAAATGTGATATTTTTGATTTGCATACCCTGCGCCTAACAATCGCGGACAGTTTAAATATAGGGTTTGATTTAAAACGATAAATCATTTTACTGTCGTGTAAACTAAGAAAACCACTAGAATAAAAAAAATTAAATTATCATCATGGTTTCCCTGTAATAATATAACGTATTAAACAAAATATGACTGGAAATCTAATCAAATCTAACTACCATAGTTAAAAAAAAACAACTAATACTGCTAATGGGTTATTTTAGATGTTGTTATAGATGAGAAGTTGGGAAGGGAAAATAATATACAAAGCTACAATAACGTTAAACCATTGCTAATAAAATAAGATTCTGTACAAAGTTCGGTTACACATGTTTTGAGATGCTGATTTTTTAAATTTTAAAATTAGTTTTAAATCTCCTATAAAAAAACCTACTACATTAAGCCCAATATATTTTTTTACCACCAAGTTACTAATTAAATTTTCAAGCACTTTTGTTTGGCCAAATAATTTTTTTAACCACACTAAATCCAAATAAAACTAGAAAAAGTCAAATGAATGTATAACAATTAAAAATGTATTGTTTTGAACCATGTCTACAAAAAAAGAATATTAGTATTTTGTACAAATCTGCAATTTAGTTTCTCGTTTTGGAAATATACGTTTTAAGTTTGGAGAAGTCACATAATATGTTAAAAATATAGATATTACCCTCAGTGACACATGGATTGTAACAAGATGACCATAAACTACACCAATTATTGATAAAATGTATTTACTGACACCTCTCTTTATAAGATGACTAACATAGAGAGATACATATAGATAAATTACTAGAGGCATCATATGCATAGACAGACAGCTACAACCTAACCCCTCTCAAAGCAGGATGAATCTGTTAAAGGATAAAACAGAGATCAGAAGATGGGTAGAATCAGCAAAACATTTACCTCTAAGATACGAGTACAATGGAAGACATGCAATAAATTAAGAATGGGAGTTAATATGAGTAGATTTACAGATAACGTGTTGAGAATATGAGGGTTACTTAATGACTTGAATGCATTTTGTCACAGTGGAATATTATAGACGATAGCACATCTATTGGTATATCCAATAGATGAGGGACTCTGTGTCCAAAAAGACAGCACTGTGGCCAGTCAGAAAGCCACGGACACCGTCTAATATTGAGTAACTACAAATATATCTTGTCAATATATTGTCTCACATTTTATTTTTTATAATTTATATTGTCTTATGTCCAGTTTACAATTTAATAGCTTACCAATATGATGCCTGACACACACACACACAAAAAAAAATGTTCCTTAAAAAAGAAAGCACCTATTAGTATTGAGTTGTAAGAAAATTTAAGGACTTGTAATTTTACATTATCCATGTTATTTATTATTTTACCATTAAATTCAGTTATGCTGCAAATGAAAATGGTACAGACTTTGGATTTTCAATTTAATAACAACGTATATTACAAATACACTGAAATGTATCATTAAAATACCTTTTTATAATTTTCATCAATCCATGGCAATTTTTAAGTTTGGTATTCTATGCTATACAATTTAGATAACAATACACTCTTTACAGATAAATATATCAAAAAAATATATTATGGTGCTCTCACTGTATTATATACTATCCAATGTATTTTTAGGCAAATACATCATCATATTTTATGTAGTTTTTATAATTTACAACAAATTTGATATTAGTGTTATGTATATTAACATTTTTAGGAACAATTTTCTTTATGTGAATCTGTGTTTAAGATGGGACGGTTCCTATTTTAAAATTAAAAGTGTGTACTCATTTAAGATACAATAAGTACAGGTAAAAAATTTGAAAATATAGAGTTAAAATAAAACTTAAATTATTTTATGATAATTGAAAAAATCACAAATCAAGTTTATTTAAAATACTTAACAATACATTTTTGGTTCATAGCAAATGGATTACCCAGTATAATAGTGAGTGTTTTTATAATAATATAATAAACTTAATAGAATATACTGTTAAAAATATATATATCTGTATTTATACTCATTGGTCGTTATAGATTATATTTACGACAGCAGTTTCACCACTGAACAGATTTCAGTTAAAAATCAAATAAATAGTTGACAATAACAAACAATAATAACTTATTTTTCATATTAATAATAAAAAAAAAAAAAAAAACAAAACATTCAACTAATATTGTAGTGTATATTGTTATAGGTATAATATGGAAATGATCATCACAAATATTAACAAGAGACAAAATCTTAAATGATAACAATGTGTTAGGTCTAGACAAGAGGCCTAATTATTTAAAAAAAGGCTTACATTACCTATTTTACAATCGCTAAATATTTTCAATATTAAAAGTCAAATAATTCGTGGTTTGAGTATTTTCGTGATTAATATTACTAATATTTCATTATCCTTGTTACAAATTGGTTTTTGTATGTATACTTACCTAAATATTATAATAAGCTATAATTATTGTGGTTTATTTTATCATCGTATTAATATTTCATTATGTGTTTTACATGAGTTACTAAATGGTGAAAAATCATTAAAAAAAAAAAATGTCTATGTTTAATAAGGTTAATAGGCAAAACAAATAAAATAGGCCTATCATCTCGTAGAGTCAAGAATAAAAATCCCTAACAGTTGGTTTATCTTGAGGGTGTTAAGATAAAAATAATAATAATAATAATAGAAAAAATAAAAATAGAATTTTAAAATTTTTGAATAAAAAAAGAATGAAAATAAAAAAAAAATTGAAAGTAAGAAAATAAATGCATGTTATTGGCGGCGTGTTGCATAGTCATCTTTGTTCATCACTGGGTGGCAACTTCGTCGGCAGAGGTCAGTATCATGTGCCCGGTGGTGTGCATGGTGGATGGTGGTGGACGGCCCTGTCTAGCAGTGATCATCTTTGCGGCACGCTCGTCGTCCATGGCCAGTGCTAGGTCAAGCGCTGTGAGGCTTTTGTACCGGATGGACGTCTGACAGCGGGACGACGACAGGAGAACAGATGCCATCCGGTATTGCCTATGCCGGACAGCAGCGTGAAGGGGCGTGCCACCGTAAGTTTTGGTTATTGCGTTGGGCGTCACGCCGCACGCCAGCAGGAACGCCACGGCGTCCGTGTCGTTCCGGACCACGGCCTTGGCCAATCTGTCCGAGTGGATTAAATGGGTGGTGACGGTGGACTGATGACCGTGCGTGTGCAACGCCAAATCGAGAGGCCGGCAGCCGGTTCCACTGTTGTTCCGTGCGTCAATGCAGGCTCCTGCGTTCAGCAACTGGTCAACCAGCATTGCGTTACCGGTCCGTGCAGCCACGTGTAATGCTGTCTCGCCAAAGAGGCCAGCGAGCGTGTTCACGTTTATGTCCATAGCCAACAGCATGTCCACAGCAAGTCCGTGGCCTTTAGCGGCAGCTAACAATAAAGGTGGTCTTTCCTGATTGAATCTGTGCAGGGCCTTAAGCGAATTCTCGTTCGTATACGCTAACAAGCACTTCAACATATCCACATCACCTGAAAACGGCGCGAAAAAATAGTACAGAAATTCAGTACAGGAAATTATCGGGGAATGGCCGCGTCATGTAGATTCGATCCAAGAACAACAAACATTTTATGTTTCCCGGGGTTTTCGTTTTTTAGGGTGTATTGATACAATTATTGATTATAGAATAGACTATCCTATTCTATATTCAATGGTACAATACATTAGATTTATCAATAACAGTAATTTGTTTTTTATTTTTTCAAAACTGTTCTAAAACTGAAAAAATGACTAAAAATCTTTAAAATATTTCATTGAATAATATTTTTCTTTTTTACGAATATATTATTTTGTTGGAAAAACAAATTTTGTCTTCAAAAATATTAAAAAATTATCCCTGTTTGTGTGCGAATCATGTTAATTTTAATAAACCGGAATATCACATATTTAATATTTTTTAATGCATTGGTGGTTTTATTATGTGTGCTTTTTTTTGTTTAAAATGTTATCTAGTTAGTGCACTGAGAATGTTATTCTTTGATTTTCTGTGTATTTTATCAGTGAAAAACTCAGAAAATGTATGTAACATTTTAATACTATTGAGCAATTATACTATTATACATGTAATTATGTTTTTATTATTTGCTTTATATTTACTTCTTATTTTGTTCAAACTATTTTCCTGGTTTAAAAACGGAAAACTAAAATACATATTATGTTATAATACTAACCGGACTCACAAACCAAATGGATGACTGTACGATTCAAGTCACCATTCAGGTCGACAACGATGGAACCATGTGCTAACATATGCTGGGCTAACACCAAGTCATTAGGAGAGCAACGGGCAACAACTGCTTGCAAGGGTGTTATGGAAGCCGGTAAGCTTGGTATGCGGCCCATATCGGCACCTGAGCTCACCAATAGCGCAGCCACGGCGTCTTTGTGGCCGGAAATGGCAGACAGCAGAGGCGTCCGGCCCTGGTGGTCAATTGCGTTTATCTGGGCACCGGCTCTCAGCAGCACAAACACTGCTGATAAGTTTCCACGTCTGGCAGCTAAGTGTAGTGCCGTCTCCTGCATGTCGGAAGTCCGGAACTCTACTATTTGTTTTAGTTTTCCACGGGTTTCTGAGTTTTTTAGTATCATCGAAAGTATCCACACAGGATATGAGTGGTGAACGGCGTAATGCAGACACGTCCACCTGCTGCGACAAATTTTTTTTTATCAAATAAGTATTCTTTAATTATCGAACTTGCAGTTTATTGAGTTCTGCTCAGAATCGTGTTTTAATTACAATGATTGAATATTGCATTTAGTTATTAAAATTAAAATATCTACAGCTATATCTTATATGACTATCAAATTTCCTACCTACAATAGTATCTTACTTATGGAGTGAAGTTACTGCTTGTACTCAGTGAGCCAGTAAAACTCGTTAGTTTTGATACTGAATCCTATTTAATCCCAGTAAAAAATCACTTAAAATTTTTTTTCTGAATTCACATGCTCCTTCCAAACTTCAACCAAAACAAAAATATAGATAACGACTCGAATGTAATTTTGCTTAAAATACGTAAAATAAATGTATTTTTGGATTATAAGAGTTTCGATATAAATATAAAAACTCATATAAATTGATAAAATCACTACCACAACACTTACATATCACTAAGTTGGTTCTATACCTATAGTTTTATCTACTAAATAGGTTACCTGGTCCAGTCGAATGCAGAGGGATCAGCACCTTTTTCTAACAGGAACTGTATGGATCTTAAATGCTTACACTTCATAGCCGCTAACAGGGCTGTGAAACCCGTCGCTGCGTTTTGTTGGTCTATGACTGCCCCGCGGTTCAGCAACTTATTCATTAGAATGGTATTTTCTCTGGCTGTGGCCTTGTAAAACGCTCTGTTCACCACACTTTTGGGCATTTCACAATCCAGTAGCACGTTTAAACATCGTCTAGAAAAAAAAAAAATTCACAATTTATAGTCTTAATTATTCTTATTGTAGGTAAATGAAAAAAAGGATAAAATATAGAATATTTTAATTTATATCTGCACGCAACGATAATGATTCTGAGAATTATTAGTTGCATAGGTAACCCAGATAATAACAAAAATTATACGAAAAATTGCCAGTTTTTCCCATTTATTAGAAAAACTACAAACAAATCAAAAATAAATTCCACAGGACACTAACCGGGTCAAAAATGCTACCAGATAGTTAATCTATAAAGTTTTCGATTGAAACAAAATATCTGGTAGAAAAGATGTTTACAGACACTAAAATACTAATATATTTTTTGTTCCTTTCGGAATCTAAAACAAGAAAATCATGTATGTACGTATACTTTTCGTTCATAAGAGTGGCAAGGTCCAGGGCAGTGTTGTTGGAACCGTCCACGGCGGCCGGATCAGCTCCATCGCCAAATAACATCCTGGCAACTCGGTCTTTGTGGTGCAGCACGGACAGGTGGGCGGGCGTCCGGTGGTGCGCGTTCCGGGCGTTTGGATCGGCACCCATGCTCAGCAGTAGTCCGACGATGAGCCGGTGGCCGACCCGTGCGGCCACGTGCACTGGGAGATCGGCCGTCCGGCCAGTTGGGCAGTGCACCAGATGCGGGTGACGTCCGATGGTCTGTTTAACCGTCGCGTAATCGCCCCACTCGATGGCTGTCCGCAGGTCCTTGGGGGCCCGCGCCCGTTTTCGGTAGTAGTACACGTGCATTTTCCGTGGCTGTGGCCTATTGGTGTTATGCTTGTGAATTATTATGACAGGCCAGCTGTACTATGTAACTGAAATCAAACAAGACATCAAAAAAATGTTTTATATAAACCGAAATGGGACAAGTTAAATGATTTTGTTGATTATAATTCAAATTATTCAAAAGAACAAATAAATAAATAAATAAATAAGCTAAGTTAATAGTTAAAGATAGCTTCAAAAAACAAAACAAAAAAAAAAATACTACAATCATAATCGAAATATTTCTGCCGATGAATTCAGACTGAAATGGGAGATTCTTTTAAAAACGGTTTTTTGGGGTACCTGCAAAATATTTGTTTTAAATTGTAGTAACTTGCCTAATATTATAAAACTAATGAAAATTAAAATTTTAACCCTTTAAAGTTGAGGTGCTTGCATATGCAATAAAACTCGTTTTATTAAATAGAAACAGCTTTTTAGCACATACTTTTAAAGCATGTTACTATATGTGAAATTGTATAATTATCCTTGTTTATAAACTTTTCCCTCATGAGTAATTAAATGTATTTATTTTTAAAATTATGCGTTTTAAACTTGTTAAAAAATCGAAAGAGAATCATATTTTTTTTAATAAACTAAGATTTATCTGGCGACTTCTAAGAGAAAAAAATTGTATTACTATTTGAAGATAATGCTAAATATAAGTGTTTTATGGATTTAAGAAAATGTGAATTTTATTGCGCATATCAATAAGGGTCAAAAATTTGAAAATTGCTCAAAATACGAGTATGTATTTTATCACAGATCTTCCGAAAAAAAAACCCTAATTTCAATCGGAGTTCATTATCCTAAAATATTTTGAATATTCTTGAATTTAGTATTTATTTTCACCGCTGATTTTATTGATTTTCAATTATAACCAGTCTGTAACATTATGATTATTCAGATGTTGTCAGATATACTTTTTGACTTATTTGAGTGGTTGGAAATTTCAGAACTCAAAAACCATTATGCAACCTAATGATAAATATTGCAGGTTGCTCATAGAATAAAACGTTTTTTTAAGTAGAAACATGACGGTGGAGATGACGTTAATGTGAATGCGAATGGGAAGTTACGGGAATTAGAACCTGAAGGTAATACCATTATAGACAAAAACAAATATGTTTAGTATTTTATTAAAACTGTACATTTGTAGCGTAAATAGGTTTTTTAAACTAAACCAGATGATTTTACAATTATAGTTGTAATTTAACATAATTTAACACATATAACTGAATCCCGTGCAGTTATACACTATAATACGCGGCTTGTGAAATATTATACAGGGTGTATACAGTGGCGTGTTGAACTGTGTTTACCTAAGGAGCCAATATATTTATATACCGCCCATTAGCTTAAGGTTAACTTATTTTATTTGAACGCATCTGCAAAAACCTGAATATAACACACACATATTAAAAACATTTATTCTGACATTATTATTATTATTATTTTTTAATTCTATTAAGTTGATACATTTTCAAAAATTATTATATATTACTAAAAAAACACAGACCTATCTTGTTTTATCCATATACTCACTTAAATTTATAGATGGAACTGGAATAATATTGTCAATACGCCACTGGGTGTAACACAAAGATCTGATGCCTGCACTAACTTTTTTTTTTTTAATGATATTGTGATTCTACGTTATATAGGTAGTTAAACTATTATTTTGAGCTTGACTTTTTTTTTTACTACACTAATTAAAATTGATTATGACCTTTATGTAACTTTAAGCATTTTTACTCGACCAAAACAATACTACTTTTGATTTTAATCGCATAAAATCAAATAAATTTAAAAAAAAACTCTAAAGAATCAAATGCATAGCTTAAAAATCACCAAAGTTTGTTGAAAATTGTATGACGTATAAAAAATGCTAGACAATTTTAAGTCTCTACGATTATTTTTAACCGGATTAAAATAAAAAGCAAAATCAAAAATAATGAAACATTATTGTTTTCAACCTTCTCGTTTCGTCCAATATTTTGTTTTCCAATAATTAGGAAAGTTGAGAGGAAAATCAAAAAAAGGTCTCTAAATGCAAAAATTAAATATAATTAATTTTCGGAAAAGATGGTACACTTGAAAATCGGAGCGAGATTTTAGACGGAAAAAATGTGTACATAATAAAAAAAAAAACCATATCATATAATACGTTATTCCTCTCTGCGCTCAGAATATAAAAGCAGAAAGCACACATCATTACCTACAGTAGAACCACTTAGCTTAGGTTATAATTTTCTCTGCAGAATTTGCAAAAGTATTAAGTATAAGTTTACCGTGAAAATGTAATGGTATTTTTTTTTATTTTTTATTTCACGTATAGCTGCGATGAAAAATAAAAAAAGAAAAGAAAAATGTTATTCAACGTTAATTAATATATTTCTTCGGAAACTGGTAATATTTTTCTTCACAATTTTGTTTCACAATACCATCACCTCCACCAGTATTCTTTAGTGAAAATCTTTTGATGCGTTTCATATTATAACTCTGTACAAAAATCTTGTAAATAAATCAAGAATATTATTCTAAAAAAAATCTTTTTTTTTTTTTTACTCATAGCCGGGGTAATTAAAAATAAAAGTAATTAATTCGTATAAAAATACCCCGAGTCCAGGGTCGTTCCGATCTACTTTATATAGGTATTATAATTAAACCTGTCACGAACAAAAATTTAAAATTACGTATATACATCTATGCGAAAATAATAAATAATTGGTATTTAAAAACATTTGTATTTAATTTCTTTTCGAATAATATTACTGTGATTTCTAAGACATACTTCGCAACCCGAATATTAGGCCACTATTGTATAGATGAAAATTTTAAAAGTTATACAATTTAAGGTGTAATTTAGTTTTTAATGCTATACTGGAAATAATGATAAATCATTACAAAATGAAAAACCATTCTAACAGCAGTTTGGACAAACATTTTCATAGTTGAAAATGTAATAATACATTCACACTTATTGTATGCCGGTCATACATGCCGCGTTACAGTAGATTTTATATTTAATTGCCATAGTAAATCAACAAAGCGTTTAGATAAATCACGGGACTTTTTATACATACGAATACCAGTATGCTCGTAGACTAAATTTACTATCAGCAACCATCACTAATGGTGACGATTGCAATTTTTTTTTACCAAGAAAAAGTTGTTTCAAGATAAGAAACCAAAAAATCAAAAATAAAAATCACACACATAATTTAGTAAAACCAGTTCGCTCGATTAGAATCTAAAAATTACTGTATACAACGCAGAATTTACTCGACGGAGGATCCTTCGTCGCACAGTGGTTTTAAATTGAAACTAATTTGACCGAAGCTAATAATGGTTCTTAAATTATATAGGTATACTATTACAAATCAAAAAGTATCGAATTATGAGTTTTAAAGGTCCTAGAAACCAAATCTGTCATTAATTATAAAATGTACCCTTATTTAAGGGATAAGCATTTATTTTGTAGGTATGTAATTTATGAAATGGCATATCGATATATCGCATCCTTGCGACTTTAACGACAAGTCAAAAAAGGTTTTTTTTCAAGAAAGAGAATTAGAACCTCAAAACAAAATATATTGCATGTGATTTCCTTTCAGAAAAAGTATTATCGTTAAGTCGGAGCAAAATTGCTGGTAGACAAGTTGTCCACAGAAAAAATAAAAATAAACATCATTGTAAAACTAATATATTCCTAGCTCCATTTATTATCTAAAATAAGGTTAAAATTGTCTTCGGACGAAACATAAATAGTAGACAATTTAAATTTAAAAAAATAATAATAATTAAAACTTGAGAACATTAAGGTAAAATTAAAAAATGCAGCAATTTAAATAAATGGACCATAGACGAATTTTGAACAGCTATTCAATACGTTTATTTTAATTATTATTATTATACATTATCATTAATTATTTCCTATTGTTATAATTTGTTTTTGTAGTAATAATACATTATAAAAAAAATAATAATATTTAATTGTTATATTAACCTGTATAGCTTATTTTGTGTATCTTTTGCTCCATGGACTTTTTCATCTGTGGTTATTTTAGTCAGAATTTTTTGTCCGTAGCTTTTTATCCGATTACCGAATGAAACTACCTATTCCTAATTGTAATTATCGGTATAAAATGGTAAAATATCGATTTAAGATTATGTCGATAAGTTATTTTATCGGTCTTTTTTATATTAACTACTAAGAACATATTTAAAAATAATTTCGGTCAGATTTTTACGAGTATATCCCATACTGTGTGCGCCGTGAGAAATAAAATTAGATTTTTTTTTTTTAAGTAATAGCCCGGCCCGACAATTATTAAACGTTTAATAATAATAACCGATATTTTTAATTCGACCTGCGTCCGGTCATTTATTAATTTAATTCGATAATAATAGAAACGCGTGCAGACGAAACAACGAATCGGAATCCACATCTTAATTGAAACGTGTGGAAAATATTATTATTATTTTTTACTATTAGGACGACAATAATAATATTGTATTCCATTATTATATCGGGACAGACAACGGCACAGTACGCACACATATTTAAGTCTGGACGGTCTAAAAATAATAAACGGAGGGGTCTGTTTGATATTATTGTTTAAGAAACGGGTTCATTGACGAGATAATAATAATATTATTATTATTATTATAAATGTTCATGTTGTTAAAATAGAAGTTATTAATCGATAACAATATTCGTTTGGCGAACGGCGGTTATGGAGATTAGACGAACTTTCATGGGTCGACATCCGCTGCTCCAGATATTATTAAAATAGATATAAATTTCCCCGTCGACATTTTAATCGGCTTCTAAATGTCCAATAATTTATTTTGTCAACAAATATATCATTATAACAAATACAAAATATATCGTGCGTTCCTAAGCAGATTGGTCAGCCGCTAGATTTTACTGTTTCTAAACTCAGCTGCTGACCAATCCGTTGGAGAGGAAGTGATCAATCGGATAAAGCAATCAGCAATCTGATATTTTGTGCATGGAATAGTGTTTAACTAGACGGATGTGATAAACACTACACTTTACGCGTTACAATTGAAACTAATTTACTAGCCTATATTTGACAAAAAAAAAAAAATATGATATGTTAAAATTTTTGTTTAATGTACAAACGTGTTTCCAAATTCCAATTCCAACACTCGACGTGTACAATACAATATAATGTTAATACGGTTTTTGTGCGCTGGAAATATTTTTATAAAACATTTAGATACTGACTCGATTTGTATATCATTTAATCCTAGTATGTATACCTATATTGTATTTAATTGTAACTTTTAATCAAATGTTTTATACTTAGTTCTCGATGAAAATAATGAAAAATGATAAGAATAAAATATTGGTGATTATGGCGTATAGGTAACCTTAAATAATGATATTAATAATATGTTCCAACTGATTAACAAAAAGTGTTCCTAAACTCTATCGATCTGCTAAGCAACTCACTGAATTAGCTCATTGATTAAGGAACACACGGATAAAGATAGGTAACTCCCGCGTAGTGGCGAAACGTTTTTGATATAAAAAAAAAAAAAAAGTAATTTTAATATTATTATCAATTATACCAATGATACCTAATAATGATGTATTACATTGTTAGTCACGAACTAAGAAAAATATTGACTGTCAACGACAAGGCAGGTAATATTTGGTAATGGTGCAGTCAAGTTTTGAGACAGGGAATATCTAAATTCAAAGCTTTTGGCGGTACTTTCTCGAACTATTAAGAATACTAAAGGGTGTAAAGGAAAGAACTATAGATTATAGTGGTGTGAATGAGTGTTGTGAGCGTTATACTCGTATAATTTATTTATTTTTATTTAATCTCTGTATTGCCTCCTCCATGAAAACTCTGTTAAGGAAACTTCAAAACGACAATAGTAATAAGTAATAGATACTAATAATATGTTATGTAAATAATTATATCGCATTTTTTTTTATTTTTATCACTTCGGAACACAGTCTTGGAAAATAAGATCCACAGTAATAATTTCTAATACCTAGAGATATTTTTCAACGAGCGTGAACGTGTTCACTATTTTAGTAAATGTTCCAATTAATACTGCGAAGGAGACTGTTAATACCAAAATAACAAATAAAATGTTAATGTTAAGTACATATTTTGAGGGCTGATTGAATTGTACATAACTCACACAAATATATTTATTTTGTTTTGGCCTGATTACACGTAATGAACAATGTGACACAATTAGTTATATTATCAAATACAATACATAATATTTTCCCTTGGGAATATCCTAAATACATCACAGTTTGAGTAATCGATTTAGAGATATTTTACTATTCATTACGCAAACCGAGCAGCTACTCGCTTAATTTTGAATTTAGAGTAATAGCGCCTATTTTATTAAACTAAAGAGAACAATATTCCAAAGTACATCACGACGCAATTTTACCATTATCCCGGAAATAATGATCAGTTTATTAATATCAACTATTTCAACAAAAATTCATTTTTTTTTTTTCAAAAATGTATCGTCATGTACTTCAGAATATCATCTTATTATTTTTGTTTTATAACGCGTATTATGAAACGTTTTACTAAGTCGACGTAAATATGTTTTTACTCTTGGATATCATCGGTATCACATTTTTTAAAGAAAAAAAACAAAGAAAATCCAAAAATAACCTCCCAAATGCACTAACCAGACAAAATTTGTTAACGAAAACCAGTAAAACCATTCTTGAAGTTGATGATCGGAGTAAGTTTTCTAGGTAGAAAAATTGTAAAACAGACATTAAAAAAGAACACATTTATGTAGTTTATAATCGGTAATTACACACATGCCATTGATCGCACGATACCCGAAAGGCTTATAGAAATTAATATTATAACTATCTAAATAACGGCAAATTGTTGACTTTTTTTTACTAAAAAAAGTAAAGAAATTCAAATTTAAAAGTCTCGTAGGTATAAATGATAGATTAAAAAAAAAAAAAATATGTACTATGGTTTTTATTTTTACAAAATAGTATCTAGGTGTACCTACACCGAAAAAATGAAAATATTACTGATTATCTCGGACCCTAGCGTAAAAGTTAAGAAAAAATTTAAATAATAAGTAACTACAGATAACATTAATATGAATATTAATTAGTACCTACAAAAATGCTAAAATTTAATAATCCAACTACAGAAATGTGGGTATATTGTATAATAGTTAAGAGGTGTCATTAGGAAGGCAAAAGGGTGCAAAGCCCTTCTGAATTGAACTAGGTATATAGCAACCACAAAACGTAACTTAACTTTTTTTTTCATACAAGTCTGTCCGCGATCGAAATTTTTGGACCTGTAACGATCGTTTGACGGTACCTACACACAATATTAAATACACATCACTTCTCGTTTAACTATATTATTGTCAATATTTGTATTTCACCAATAATAAAAATAATGATAATAATAATTAGATACCAAAGTATAATAACTTATACGCGGACGAATTGGAAAACCAATCGCCGGATTCGTTGGGTTACATAAATTACGATGGCCGGTACCAACACACGCGGGAGTAGGTAATAAGTAGGTTATAATACTAATAATGATAATTGCTTATTTTTGTAACCGATGAAAATAAAATAATATACAATCTAATGAAGGTAGATTATACATCACCTATAAGCATTAACTTGTAATGGTGATGTTGAGTTCGTACAAGATAAAATTGAAATTGTACAAAATAGTTAATAGATACGATTAGTGTAAACGTAAGTAATATTTAGATGTTAATGTACCGACAAAATATTTTATGCAATTTACATAGGTACTCACGAGTGTCGGTATAATATTATCTGTCTTAGGCCGCCTTCTTGTTACGCCGACGTGGTTTAGAGTTTTTGACGACTGACTAGCCGAATTACCGTGTCCATGTGCTAACGATCATGACGAGATAAACTGTATCAGCAATTTGCTGATAACAATGCGCGTTAAAAGTGCAGCGCCGCAGCGGCCTCGTACGTCACCCGGTTTGGCCGGTTTATACCATAGAGGAATTAAACATTTTCTCGAAGCACAAAAAATAAGAACTCTTGACAGACTAGCCACTTTCAGAAGAAAAAAATTATTGTACTCACTTTTACACGGAATCCAAAAGCGTATTTATTGTACATTTATTAGTTATTACATTTGTACATTTTTTATAGATAAGTAGTTGAGAATGTAGAATATAATTTATATAATTTATATCGGTATTATTATGTTTTGGAAAATAATAACTAAACAAAATTCAAATGTTTATATTATGGTTGGTATAATAGGGAACCAAGCAATGTAATTTTTTATCTACACTGCGACCAAGTTAAGACGATGACCGGGCGGCCGACGCGTTTTCGTTCGTTTCGGTCAGATCCCCGCCCTGCAATGCCTGTACAGTCATGCCACGCATCTGATTAGCTAACCAGTTTTCGGCGGTGACAAAAACGGCAGCATCTACAGCCACACACCAAATAACTACACTATACACCGTATTGTAGTCATCGGAGAACATTTGAGTTCTTGGTATACTTAAACAAAATAATAATGCATCTTCTATGAATCAGCTGAATTCTAGACCGCTGGTGCTCATGTAACGGGAATGTCTGTCTAATTAAGAAATGCTCTAAGAAAGAAGACACTCGACTGTAGCACGACTAGTGGTCTATAATCAATACGGCTATTGAATATGTGTATTAAAAAGCGCGCGTAAATTGAAATGTATATCGAATGAGATGATTATGAACCAATGGTTCTTTTGATGACAAAATAATGATACCATATTAACGATAACAATATCGACGTGCACACGTGTTTATTTTGTACTTAAATCTAATAGTGATAATTATCAATGTTACCTGTTCCACTATTGTTTTTATTTCGTAACCGTGATTCGATAATTATCAATATAACTCAAGGCAGTATCCAGACATTTTTTTCGGGCGGAGGAGTCTAAAACAAATTTTTTTTAACACTTATTGTAGTTTTATTAAATTTAGGTTTTGATAGTTGATTAAAAGTAAGAAAAAAAAATTAAGGTACAATAAAAATAAACAAAATTACTTAATGTCATTTTACGCTACACAAAACATGAAAAAAAAAAAAAATCATATTTTAAATCGATAATATGCTCCTATTTTTCTGAAGAGCAAACCGGTTTAAAATTTCTTCGGGATCAACCGTAACATCTTTATGGATACTAAATAGAACTAGTCTAGTTAGTCTTTCATGTCCCATAGAGTTTCGTAAACATTTATTGACGCGTTTTAATGTAGAAAAAGTTTGATGATTTTAGGTACCTATGTCATAATAATATTTATAACTTACACAATTAATTTTATTTTATTGTTGTTATTGTCGCTGATCGCCGACCGGCATCGACAGCGGTCGTTGTCCATCAATAATAAACCATCTATTATTAGATGCTATAATAATATAATATTATTTTAATACATTATTTGATACAAAACAGTGATAATTTATAACTGAAAATATTAATGTTGGTATTAAAAATAGTTATTTTAAACATTTGTAAAATATTGAAGACATTTCGGGGGGGGGGAGTCTGGACCCTTGGACCCCCTCTCAGATACTTTTGTTTTTGTTTTAACAGTTGTTTTACTGATTAGCAATTACCGTTAGCTCGCGATATTTGAAAACTATTGCGTTTTTTTTATAATAGCACGACGTTATTTTATTGTTAAAATATAAAAAAATAAATAAAACTTGAAACTTGTATTTTTGTTAAATACTCATTTGTGTTTAAATAATATATTACCCTATTTTCAATTTTTTTTGATAAATATCTAAAAAAAATCAACATTAAAAAGGTATGTTTAATTTCAAATCAATCGGGCTTTTGCAAAGTTCGAACGACACCGCATCCAAATTTTTGGCCACCAGTCGCGCTACAGTCGAGTTTCTAATTTCGTGAAACGCACGTTGTTGCTGTGAACTGCTGACAAACCTGTTTTTTCACCGCGTTAGGCCCATTTCACACGTACCCGGTAACCGTTTAATCGTTAATGAATATAGTTAGGTGTTAGGTGTTAGGTGTCTAGAGTTTTGTCTCAAAGTACGGGCTTTCTCATTTTTGTTCGGTGTTGTTGAATACGGGTCCGTACATTTTCTTAGAACTTTTCTTTCAAAAATACGTAATTTTTCATCGTCTCTCGTCGTTAACCATGTGCCATGTGGCATACGCATATGTCAAAACAGGGCGGATGTAACATATATATTATATTATATAGTCCTTACAAATAAATAATACAGTGCCCGAGTGCCATAGAAATATTATAATATACCTACCTAGTTAAAAGTTAAATGTTATTACTATATGTACAATAATGAAATCTCAATAATCGCATTCGTATATTCGCAATTCACCTTATAACATTAGATTCATTGCTAAAATAGACCTGTTTTTGGAAGTAAACCTATAGAATCTACAATATTTACAATAATATTGTGAATTATATTATTATATTTTCAATTATTCAAACTCAATAGTAGACAAAATTAGGCAGTTTGCAATTTTTATACCAAATTATGTTAGAATTATATTATTAATATAAATCGATAAAACGTAAATAGAACAATAATATTATAATATAATAAACCAATATCAATAGTTTGAATGCATTTTTAATTTTGTTGGCTGATCAGTGTTTATCATCTTTTCTTACTTTAAAATACGTCTAATTGGTAGCGCTTTTGCGGCAATATGGGAAACACTTTACTTATTTAAAGGAAATATTGTAATAGGCGGGAGAGTAGGAAGTTATCTGACCTTATCTTCTAAGACCGTGCTTTGGTTGATCACAGGTAAACTAAAATCGATCAGCTGATTGAGTGTTTATTCCATATTGTTTGTTGCTAATGGGCAGTATAACCAGTTATCAGTTCTGCCAGTCCGCTTTGCAGAATCATTTATAGATATTTATTTATCGGTTGCTTTCGTTCGTGGTGCTCACGGGCCAGCTATCGTGGCATCGATTGTATAGTATATTATAATCGCTGAACAATGATGTACTTAAAATACCCCATGTAAAACGATTTTATTATAATTATGTTCCACCGACAAAAAGGAAACAATAAAACACGTATTATAGCGTAATAGGTGTATAACGGGCGTAACGTGAACGTTGTCAGCTCGGATATTTCAAGTGCATTAGCGGGAAAGAAACGAACGAATTATGTCGGATGGCATCATACATCGTATACACGCAAAACTGCATATTATGTGTACCTATGTGTGCGTGCGTGTGTGCGTTTGCCTCGTATCCACCCTCCTGGATTTAACCAACCGTCGGATTATTGTGCACACATCGGTACAATACTAGCACTGCTGCCGCAGGTCCCTCCGGGCTCGTGTTCGCCGTTGCTCAAATAAATTGATAACGGACGACTCGACAACGGTGACGTTATAATATAGCGAGGGGACTTTGGCGGGACCAAAACAATAAAGATTGCCGAGTGATGTAAAGATTCGATTATTGTAATATTATTATTATTATTATTATTATTATTGTAATCAGACTATAATAACGTCGGTTACCCAGCAAAACCTCGTAAGTCGATTTTGTATTTATGTTTTGTAAATGTTTAAGTCTACGACAGTTTTTCGATTCTTTTCTAAAATCTAGTATATGTATACGTAGATATGTATTATGCTCTCGTATACTTTTTTAATATGACGTGTGCTTTTTATTTTTTTCCATCTATGAACAAGGTTTCGATTACAAGACTCGATCGTCTTAAACTGATCGTCCACATCGGATGGGGGTAGTTTCTGCGTAGTAAATACTAGATTTTTATGTTAGTTATTGCAATGGAGAGATCATTTTTTCAATTTTCCTTGTATACTTTTTTTAATAATAGTTATGGATAACCGGCAAAAATGTCAGAAATCAGTTTTTTTTTCATTGTCATTCAGCGAGAAATCTGGAATTTAAACTAATATTTGTAATAGCATTTCCTAAACATGGTATACATATTCTGACTGCTTTTGTATTATTTATAACTATTTATAAGATTTGTTTAGCTCCGTAAAAGTAATCAAAAATTGTATTCATCATTGTGTTATTGATTTTGTAAAAGCATTTAAACGAAGACATTCAAATCATAACATTGTGTGTACCATTACTTCTATCTATATTACTATTAAAATTATATTTTCTGTTTAAGTGAATAATAATTGTAATGACTAGTGAACTGGAGTGTCAAATAAAGTATATCCGGATAAAATCTAGATTTCTGTCTGTAATCAGTATCTCATAGATTTAGCTGTAATAGGTAAATTGGATGCTTTATAAAAAAAAGAAATACTTTTATAAATTAAGACCCAGATGGAACATCACTAACTGAAGCCACTAAATTTTCATGGACCTAAATTTATGTCTGATACTAAATTTGGCCGTTTGTTTACATTTGTTAAGAGTACCACATATTTATTAGAAAAATGGTAAGGAAATTGTATCTACAACAGCGTGCAGAAACACCAACATCGAATAAAAATCCACCACGTTTAAATCAGCTGCTGTTTTAAGAAACAGTTAGTGTTATAAAAGTGAAAACTAAAAACCTTTGGTCGTCTTCATTGAGATGGAAAAAGAAGAGAGGAGTGAATGAAAAATTTCGCGTTGGGTGTGCATATTTTAAAGTGGAAGTCATATGACTGTGTGATAATGCTTAACAACTATTATACAAGATTTCGGTATTATGAGATATTTACAGTGAATTTATTACAATTATTTTTGCACCCGATCCTCTAGATTTCTGACAACTAACAAATCCGGATTTATCCGGCCCTATCAATGTGTTTTTATTTATAATACTATATAAGAAGATAGGTAATATTATAAAGGTTATTAGGAATTAAAACGTTACAATATTATTTATGGTGGAGATATAATATTATAACATTGTGCATAACATTATTGCGTGACACATTGCAACTATTGCAGTAAAATA